TTTTTTTGCTTTCTTGCAGTTTCAGCTGCTAATGCTGCAAGGGCAATATTTCTTGTGCACTTTTCCACAATATTCAGGTGCCAGATGAGCCCATAAATATTCTGGGAGAGTTCTGACCTTACCTGAGAAAGTTCAAGCCGGGCCTGTTTGCAGATAGGTATGATAACTCTCCAGGGCTTCCAGCTTCACACTTTTCACCAGGGTGATATGGAGTCACCTTGAAAATACTCTTTGGTTGACACAAGTTCTAAGCACAAGCACAGGTGAAAAAGCTCCACAGAGAAATGCCCTCCAGCAACATTTCCTTAACAACCCACCCAGAAATCAGATCCTCTTCACTTTCACTCTGTCCTTTTTGGACGTGTTTTTCCCTCTGTTTGGGCAGAGAAGGTGAGTCATGGAACAAAGACAGTGTGGAAATTTACATCCAGCTATGAAAGTGCCTGTTATGACTACCACGAAAAAAAAAAAAAAAATCACCCACACAACTCAATCTCAGTGTAAGTCACACCCAGCTTGGAAGAAATATGAGTTTAAACCTGTTCCTTTTTGGTTGATTGACGCTGCTAGCTGCTGCAAGCTGCTTCCTCTGCGTATCACACTCAGCCTTCAGCCTTTGTTTTGTAAGATCTGAAAAACCTCTCCAGTCAGCTGCCTGCAACTATGTGGATGGACACAAATGCTGTCTCAGAGAGGGCCAAGGGGCACCCCTGTGCTCTGACCTCCTCACAGAGCAGCTTCCTAACCCCTCAGGGTGGGGTGTGGCAGAATTCCCAAGCGTTTGATGGGTGGCAGTGCATGGAGAGTGCCTTCCTGCTCTTGGGTCTTCACGCTCTGAACCTTCTCCTCCAGGACTGTGCATTTTACCTTCAAGTGCAGGACTCACCCTCTTTTAAAATACGGTGTCTGCTGCTGCCACCTACCTTTTGTGCTGGAGTGGATGCAAGAAATATTCCATGCACCAAGTCTCGAAGGAGCCCAGGATTTTCTCCTCATCCCACGAGCTATAAACCCAACCTATAAACCACGAGGTTAATTTGTTTGGTGGGCAGGAAGCTTTATCTGCCATGGAAGAGGAAAGGTTTCAAAACCCATTCAGAGATCACTTCTTGCTCTTGCCTGGCTGTGAGGGCTTTCACACAGCAGATCTTGGCATCTGCCCCACAGAGGAGATGGTCATATCAGCCAGGAAGCATTTCATGTAACAGGAGAGGTGGAGAAAGGGGTCTGGGAAATGTGTGGCCTCACAGCAGTTGGGATCTGAACCTCGTTCTCACCCTTCTCAACCGCTTCTCAACATGGTGGTTGTGAAATGCAAGCAGAGGCAGAGACAAAATGCTGTCTCCAAATGCTTGTCCCCAGCAAACCTCTGCTTTCCTTCAGGCATGTTCCTGGAGGAGCACAAACCCCTCAGGAACGCTGGCATGTGTGGTTTGTGCCAGGTTTCTCTGTCAGGCAGCCCCCAGACCACTCGGCTCCGCAGCAGTCAGAACACATGGGGAATATTTAAGAGAAATAAATGTGGCTTTTCTGTGGGTACTAACACTAAGAAGGACATAGGACAGCTCTAACCCTCTTTTCCCACCTGCTTTTCCACAGCAAACAGCACACCTGCAATTAGTTTTGGGTGAGGAGGAGCTGCAGCTGACGCAGATCTGCCAAGCCCAGGGGCTGCCATGCAGAGGTTTCGGCATCAGGGGCTGGTGTCTATGTGCTGACATCCCACCCAGGCCCATCTCCAGCCCCAGCCCTCAGCTGAGGAGCAGCACACAACCTCTGAGTAAGTAAGTGGTTTCTTTTCTTTACACCAGGACGGCATCATTCCTGCACATCCTGCAAACTCGGTATGGGAATGATTTCACCCACCTTGATGGGAGAGAAAGCCTGGCAGACGTCTCACAGCACACAGCAGCTTCAATGCTGCTGTCCAGGGCAGGAAGCAAGAAAGGATATTATATCAAACAGAAGGCATGGGAGAATTTCAGGTTAGATGGAGCACACTTAGTCACAGAAGAACTGGGTCAGTGCTCTGGGACCTGTGTTCACTTCCTGCAGGAACCCTGACTTAGCCCAAAATAGTAGCAGTTAGGCAAAAGCCAAATGTCTGCCCCTTTTTCTCCCCACAGCAAATACTAATGCTTACGTCATTAAAGGAGAAGCATAAACAGAACAGCCCGGGGTTGTGATTTGCAAAGTTCTTGGTCTGCGGATGAACCACCAGCTTTTCTTATAGCTCACTACTGTGCCATGAGACTTTTCACTGAAGATATTATCAGGATGATACAGGCCTTCATATCCACCCAACGTTTACACCAGTCAACTAAGAAGAATCAGAGCCCACATCTATGGGTTTTATGTGTGACCCGATTTTTGTCTAGCACGTGCATCGGCACAGCACAGGACAGCATGCCCCAAAGAATGGCTCCTACTGGCAGTTTGGACACTGTTTTGGAAAAGAAGGGAGAGTTTGGCTCTATGGGTACAAGGTGTGCTCCTCCTGTTGTCCTCAGGGACAGAGAACCCCCCCCCCCATCTATTTTATTTCACTGCACAGAGCCCCTACAACCACTGCTCTGCACTGGGCACCCTTGAGCAGGTGCTCACTTCGCTCCAAAAACGTGCCAGAGGCTGTCAGCCAGCATTTGTAGAACACCTGAAACTGTGCACAGAGCCACACACCTCTGTCCATCCCTCTTCCAGGCTTTGTGAATGTTTTTTGGAGCAACTTGAGTAGGCAGAATACGGGGGCAGATCCTCAGCACGCCCATCAACAGGGAGCTGTTGACATCAGTGGAAGGAGCCTTTACACAATGTGATGGTCCTTGTGTTGTTCAGGAACACCCTAGAACTGAAATTCCCATAGTGGGATACCTGGGGCACCAAACAGGCTCAGAAAAGAGGAGTTGCTTGGAAGAGCTACAGCTTTCAGCAGTAATTGGTGTGTGCCTGACCAATTCCCATTAAAACCAGGTGGTTTTAAAGGAGCTGCTTGTCACTTAGTGCCTTATAATACTCGAACCTGAAGTCCTGGGGTCCCGTGCCTGGTTCCCAAGGTAAACACATGTGATTTATTTCAGAAAGGCATCTGCAGTGCAGGAATTCATTACATACATTCCCGATGGGCAGCAGCCAACATGTCGAATGTGCCAAGTTACCAGAGTTTTATTAAAAGCTGTTAAGAGTTAGGGGGGAAGGTGCAGAGAAAAGCAACCTCCTTCCCAAAGCCAGGTGGCTTAGGCTAGACTTACGCCGCTTCCCAAACGGATGAGGCAAGCTGGAGTCAGAGGTTCCTTCCAGCAACAGCTCAGTCCCCCTGGATGTCTCTCCGTAAGCTGCACAAATATTCTGGGGAGGGGGAGGGAGAGAGAAAAGAGTGAAACCTATTCAATTACATCAAGATCGCGACCGGCCCTAGTAAAATCATTTATGGAGTGAGGGAACCCGGAGCGGTTTGGGCTGGAGCCATCTGCAGTTATTTGGTATATACAGAATCCGTTTCTATGGATTTTATTAATAGGTCACGCGATTGTATACGAGGATGTGAGATCTGAATCTCTCAGGAGGGGTCCCTGGTTGGGGTTTCTATTGCCTTTATAGGCAATGGCTCAAACTTTCTTGCAGCAGCAACTCCTCAAAAACTTGAGGGGAATGGGGCTGGTTTTAGGATCCAGCCCATTTTTTTCTCTCCCCCACCAAAATCTTGAATTGACTTTGTTCCTCTTCCTCATTTACTAAATGGAGAAACAAGGAAATAATCAGAGAAATAGTCTTACTTACTTTTTCCATTGTCTGCATGAATTTTCCCTCTTTCCCACCAGTCTGAGGGATATCTGGTACATAACTCAGCTCTCCCACTTCCATCTGTTTTTCAGGCTCTTATTTAGGGGTGAATTTTGCTTCTATGCCACTGTTGGCTCTCCCCATAAGGGAAGTTGAGCCCAAAGGGACTTGGACACACAACAGGGGCTTGGGACAGGTGGGTGTAAATCAGAGCAGCCCAGAGTCTTCTCTACTTCCCCAGGGAGCTGCCCAAGGATCCCAGAGCTGTTCTGGAGAGCAAGCTGTGACATGGGAACAGTCAAAAGCCCTTTGGTTTTCACTATGGCTTGATTTTGCTTCAATTCCCCCAAAAGAGACAAAACCGAACCAAGCTACAAGCAATTCCTTCACATTCCGGCCACATGGAGAAAGCTGGGCTCTGCAGAAAGCCACGTGCTGCAGCAAGGTTGCACCAGCTTCACCAACACTCCTGCTGATGAAAGCCCCATCCCAGAGTATGGGGGTTTCATCATCTCCTGCTTTTTCACGTTAGCCCTACACGGGGCAGCTCGCTGTTTTCAGGAGCTTTCAGGAGGTCCCAGAGACGCCCAACTGGAGCGCAGAGGTCACATTCCGTCCTCCTTGGAAGCAAAGCCAGGGAGCATCCCACGGTGTCTCGTGGGGTGGGGGGCGCTGATCCGGCCTGCAGGGCCAAAAGGTAATCACCACCTGGACCAGTCAGGGCTGCAGGAAGGGGTATCACCCGGGGGGGTGGGACTGCCCCGGGGGTTGGAGCTGCCCCTCGAGTCTCATCGCGGTGGATGAGACCTGCGGGACTGCAGGACGCGGTATCAGACGGGATGCGAGTCCGCCCGGGAGTATGCGCTACCCCGCGGGATCGGAACTGCCCCGGGGGTCGGAGCTGCCCCACGGGTCCCATCGCGGCTGATGAGACCTGCGGGGCCAAGGGCAGCCCAAGGGATGCCCCGTGGGGCAGGGCATCATCCCGCACGGGGGTTGCAGCTGCCCCGGGGGATCGGAACTGCCCCTGGGGTCGGAGCCGCCCCGCTCCACCGCCCGCCCCGGTGTCGCCCCCCAGCGCCGGGGCCCTGCCCGTCCCCCCCGGTGGCCCCGCTCGGTCCGCCCCCCCGTGCCCATCCCCGTCCCATTGGCCGCGGCCGCCCCGCGCGTCACCGCTTCCTCCCGCTTTTGTGCGCCGCCCCAGCCCGGCTCCAGCCGAGCGGAGCCGAGCCCAGCTGAGCTGTTCCCAGCCGAGCCAGGCGCCGGGACCCACGGCGGTGACAAGCCCCGGGTGTGCGGGCATGGCTCAGTGACCCCGCCGCCGCCGCACCGGTGAGTCCGCCCGCAGCCCCCTTCTTCCCGCCGGGTCCCTGCGCCCGCCCGCCCGAATAGTTTCGGGTTTTAATTATTTTATGCTGTCTGCAGCGGTGGCCGAGAGTTTTTGCAGCAGCCGGGTCTGGCTTCCGTGGCTTTTTTTTCGTCCTTCCTTTCTTGTCTTGCAAGCGGAGGGTTGTCTCTCCGGCTGGGTTTGGGGCTCGCAGGGGATGGAGTGGTTCTCCAAGAGGAGGGAGCCGGGAGCCGTGTCCGTGGGTGCGGATGGAAGGATTAAGGGATTGACCTTCCCCGGAGCTCCCCGCATACCCCTGCCTTGTGCTGGTGCGCTCGGGTCATTGGTTTTCCCAGGTTGTTTCCTGGAAGCCTGTCCCAGCTGCAGCTGCCGACAGCGAGCGCCGGGATTAGACCCGTTCCCGGGATGCATTCACCTATGGAGCGGTGGTCACTTGGGTCTCGCTTCCTTGGGAAGCGTCTCGACCACACCAGGGAGGTGCGGGGGTACCCAGAGAGCCCTCACTGTCCAGCAAAGCTGTCCCTGCACCGTGTGTCCGGAGCGGTGAGGATGGGATGAGCGTGGGGAGGAAGGCTCTGCGGCGGGCACGGACTCCCACGGGCGAGGGAAGCCCCGCTTGGGGCGAGTGGCCAGCGGAGCTGGAAGGCTGGATTTCCACCTGGACTCAGCCAGCGGCTGTCGTGGGGAGCTGTACCGCGAGTCAGGAGGATGCTCCGGGAGGATTTGCTCAGTTTGGAGAGCGGCTTCCCCCTCGGCTGCTGTTTTTTATCCTCCTCCTTAATTCCTGCCTTGCAATCCAGTGGTTTTTGGAAGCAGACCTGCTCCTGGTTCGGTGCAGAGTCTTGCATGTGTTAATGGTGTGTGGACCAAAAACACAGGGCTCACTTGGGATTTGGAGGCTTGGGATTTGTGCAGGATTTAAGTGATCCCAGGGATTTCCAGGGTCAAGCTCTTTCACTTATTTGGTGAGAGTGAGTGGCTGGGGGGAATTTCTTTCTGTGCCACCTTATGGATTCATTTCCAGTCTGGTACGTGCAGTTTGATGTAGCTCCATGCAGGATTTATGTGCAGAGTGCAGCTCTTGGAAGGAGTTCCTCAGGCATGCATGAGATCAGTTGCATTTGGGGACTTGCCTGTGACTACCTGTGCCTTGTGATACCTGTGTGAGGTGGTCCAGTTTGCAGAACCCCTCATTTGACATCAGTTATGAGTGGGGGTTCAAGGTTTCCCAGGGCTCCTGCAGATCAGAGCAGACCTCCATGGCTGGGCACAGCCTTTGCCCTGGGAAGGTTTTGCAGCTTGTAAAAGCTCCTCTGTTGGAGGCAGGACGTGAGGCTGGATGGGCTGCCAGCCTGGTGGGATGTGGACTTAAAGGATCTTTTATACCTCCCTTCTGTGAACGCGTTTCGGTGCCGCAGTTTTTTCCATGGGTCCTTAATCTCCATCAGGAACCCACAACTCTGCCCTGTCAACGTGTGCTGATGGGTGATGCATTTCTTTTTTTGGGGGCTGCTAGAGCCTGTGAGGGAAGTGTGCTCATGCAGAGAGATGTGGTCTGGATTTTCATCCAGACGAAGCGACTCCGACGTGAAGAGCCAGCGACTGTAGCAGCCAGAGGAGCGGCTCCATCCCTCCTGAAACGTTCCTGTTGCTTTATGATGCTTTGGGATTTCAGCCCGCAGCTTGGACTTGATGCTTTCAGAACGTTCCCACTGGGAAGATGCCGGCGAGGATCACACGGTGTGTCTGGCTCCCTGGCGGAGCCGTGGGATGGAGTGCGTTGCTGCAGCATGGAAAGGGATGTGCTTCCAGCCCTGCTCTCCCCAGATGGACGTGGGAACGGGTGTGAGAGCTGGCAGCATCTTCTGTTCTGGTGGATCTGGCCCTGCCGTCGGAGACCTGCTGGTCGAGGCTGGAGGGAAGTGAGTCAGGGTTTGCTGTTAGAAGGGATATCTTTTATTAGACTGCTCGGGGAGCACAGGCTGGCTCTGGACTGTACAAGCCTGTCCACACGTAGAAGACAGCAGGGAGCGATTGCCCTGAGCGCACCTTGGCTCTCCTGATCGAGGGCATCGTCTGCAAGAAGAGAGGAAAAAACCGAGATATTCAGCTCCAGTTCAGCCTGTGCAGTTCATCTGGCTCAAGGAAAGGCGTTTTCTCTCTCTACAAACCTCTGGACTCTTAAGATCCTGAGACCCAGCACAGGAAAGGGACACATCTCCCGTGCACCAGCCTTTCACAGGAGATGGCCGAGCCCAGCTTGCCCAGCGAGGAGCTGCAGGTGATGGGACTGGTGCTCCCTGATGCCTGACGGTAGCAGGAGGCTGCTGGGCTCAGTCACTTCCACTCCCTTCCCTGCTCAGGGCACAGGCCAAGCACACAGCGTGCACAGAAATGTGCAGAACGTCAGCTGTGCACCGGGGAGATGGAAAATGCAGTGGGGAGCCGCGAGAGGTGGAATATGGAATTCAACTTTTTTTCTTTTTCTTTTTTTTTTTTTTTTTTATATCATCAGATGCTTTTTAGAAAACGTGGGCTGTAAATGGTCCACTCATCCTGAGCCTGGCAGGTTCACCTTCAATCCCCAGACTTTATTTATTTTCCTGTTTAAGCTCCACGAGGGGAAATGGGTGACCAGGTGGTTTCGGTGAGTCCCTTCGGGGAGCAGTTTCCCCATCCCCACCTGCAGCCATGCAGGCCAGGTCACTTCAGCATTTCTTTCTGGCACCTTTTCTGCCTTTGCTGAGTGAAGTGTGAGATGCAGAGGTGGTGAATGTCATCTCAGTTGTGCCTGAAACACGCTGTCTCTGTGGGCTTGCCCCATATCCCACATGGCATGAGCCTTCATCTGATGTGGTTAGTGCTGGGGTGAGCATCAGATGGACAAGACAAGTGGTTTTCTGTCTGTGGAAGTGTGTGTGAGCATGCATGAGAGTGGATATGTGGGCATTTTTGTTTGTTTTCTGTCTATCCCTGCAGTCCTGATCTGGTCTGGCCAAGTAATCTTCCCGTTAGTCACTAAAATGCCGCTGGTATCCAACTCAACGGGTGGTCAGGCATTGGAACAGGCTGCCCAGGGAAGATCACCATCCCTGGAAGTGTTCAAAAAACATGTAGATGGGAGACATGGTTTAGTGGTGGACTTGGCAGTGCTGAGTTAATGGTTGGACGTGATGATCTTTTCCAGCCTTAACGATTCTAAGATTCAATTAGTCCGTCCCAGTTAATTAACTCAAGAAATGAAAAGCAAAGATCTCCCTTAAGAATTGATGTCTTCCTCTTCAAAGCCTCTTGGGAGCTATAACTGGCAGAAGAGCACGGGCTCTAAGAGCAAGAGAAGAGCGCTGTAGTGGGGCTAGAGAAGAGTTTTGGGGCTGCATGCTGGGAGTGTGTGGCTCCCTGCTTTGTTTCAATGCTTGGCCTGTTGCTCCAGGAGCTTTCCCTGGAGCCACAGGGAAGCCCAGGAGGGTGGAAGATGCAGGTGGGGACCCTTGCAGCTCTTTGCCTGGTGTCCCCATCTCAGTGACCGGGGTGGGGACACTGTTGAACGTCATTGCTGTGTCTGCTCTCAGGGCCAGCTTCTGTTCCCAGGGCACCTGGGACGTCTGTGAAGGGAACCCAGAGAGTTTGACCTGGACTTTCTGAGGCTTTTAGAAATCAAAGGTGGAAGATATTTCTGCACCCTCTGAAAAAGAGGGTTCTGCTCCCAAGCGCGTTTCCCAAACGCTTTTTTGCTATCCTGGAAGATCCTAATACAAATATTAGTGGAAAGCAAGGGGCTCAGAATTTAATGAGAATCTGTGATGGACTGGAGCCTGTCCTGCTCTCCTGAGTTAAAACCCAGGCTGGCCACCATTTTATTCAGAACTAATTGTCCTTTCTGTGAAATCCTCGCTGATGTTATACTCCCCACTCTCCCAAGATGATTTGGGGCAGCTCAGGGAGAACAAGCTGTAACAGCTATGAACCAGGGTGGAGCTGAGCCAAACCCTGGCTCGCCGTGGAAGCTCCATGGGACAAAGTCCTGTTGGCAGCGTGTGCCGTGCCCAGCAGCCCGGGACAGATCCTGGAAGGAGCTGGCCAAGCTACTGCGTGGGCCACTGTGTAAACAACATGTGTGGGGGCCAGGTCCTTGGTGGGGGTGAGAGGGAGGCTCAAGTGTTCAGGTAGTGATTAAACACCAAATTGCTTGAAAAAGTAGCCCTCGGTGGGTGGATCAGAGGCGCCCTGCAAACCTACTGTGAGCAGCAGCTTGTGTGCTGAAGTAACAAAAAGTCATCTGATTTGATAGCTGGGTGATTCACAGGGAGAAAAGACTTTGTACAATTGCTTTGGGAAAATAATTTGTGAGATAAGAAGCCTTTGCAAGGGATGTAGGAATGTCTCAAATCCATCAGTACTGAAAGGTCCATGTGGCCCCTGCAATGCTTTCGAGTGCTCCTGTGCTGCCAGGACTGTCCTGGAGTGGTCGTGTTTGTCTTGTCCATGTGCAAGTGTTTCTTGTCCATGTGCAAGTATTTCTTGCACAGCAGCTTCCCAATGCCCCCAGATCCCCAAGGGAATACTGAAAACTTTGCATGTAACAGTGGTTAGGCCAAACACTGTGTGTGAAAGTGAACCCTGTGTGTTGTGCTACAAGTTCTGCTGCTTTCGGTGCAGAGGTTCTGAGGAAGATGCTGCTGCTGCTTTGGTGTATCTGTTGGAGTCTGGGGTTTTTTGACATGGTCCTTGCCCTTCAGTCCTGTGGTCTTGGTCAGGCAGCTGGACTAGATGATTGTTGTAGATCCCTTTCAATTGAACTATTCTCTGAATGTACATGGAAGTCCATCATGACGAGGGTGGTGGGTTACTTGGATCACTCAGGGGTTTACGAGCTGCAACCTCTTTAGGTTTTTTGTCGTTGAGCAGAAGTCAGATTGTCACAGCCTAGTTGTGAACTGGAAATAGTGCAGTGCCCTCCATAAATAAGAGCCTGAAAGAATTT